TGTGTGTGTGTGTTTGTGCACAGGGAAATAGACAACAAATAAATCAAGATATGCACTTGCCTTCCTCTTGGACACCTCCCTCTGGATGTCCCATGGCACCATTCAAAGTTAACATACCATGTCTCTATCACCACACCATCTCCTTCTCCGGACTCTTCTGTTTCTAAGCATTCATTCAGCAAACATTGATTATGATCCCTCCCGGCCCCCCAATTTGCAAAGTACATCTACTCACTTGCGGCCTGAGTCTTCTGGATACTTACATCCCTGTCATTCTAGGTGCCCCCTTACCCTTATTGAGGCCTGCTGGGATTATTTAGCAGCTTCTTGGGTCCATCCCAAAGTCCTGCTGCTCACCCCCAACGTGGCTCTCTCAGCTATTAAGTAATTTATTGTTCAGCCTGTTGAGGTTCTCCCAACCAATTTCTCAAGGCCCAGGGCCCTCCTACTCTGTCTCCTTCCACAGGTGCATTGGAAGACTTGTGAGCCCTGGGTCAGGCATACTTGACTCCGATCCTGAACCTGCTACTTTTTAGCTGTGAGATAGTAAGTAATTGACTTAGCCTCTTTTCTTCATACAGTGAGGATTACGTGCCACTTTGAAAGGTTAGAAATAATGTGTTTAGCACATGGTGGCAGTGGGGAGCTCAGTACATGGTGACTGCTATCACTCTCAAAATGATTAATGCCAACTGGTATGAGATCCTGCCACTTTCTCTGCTAGCTTCTGAGGACGAGGTCCCCCTCCTTCCTGCTGAAGTTAATCTATCCACCGGTACTGCAGATCTTCTCTCCTTACACCTCCTACTTGATCTTTTTGTGCTCTCTCTTCCTCACATCCTCAGTCTCCTGGATAGGTCTCTTTATCCGCTCCCTTAATCTCTGTCCTCTACCTTTGTGATGAAGGGGTGTCCATTTGGTGTCTCCACTTCTTCAGCTCCAGGTCAGCCCTGCAGCTCTGTGAGATCAGAGATCTGCTGCCTCTGCACTGCCACCGAAATTGCCCTCGTCGGAGTCGCCAGAGGCCTCCAGAATGCCAGATCCTGGAGTGTTTTCACTGCTCTGAAGCTCCTCCATCCATCCCTCTGTAGCATCAGATACTGGTGATGACTCTACTCTCTCCTCATCCCTCTATTTTTCAGCCCTCTTCTTGAATCTTTTGAATTCTAGGACGGCACTCCTGTGGTCTTCATCCTACTTCTCAGACAAATCTTTCTCCCCTCTACTGACTTCTTTTCTTTAAAATGTAGATGTTATCCAAGCAATCGCTCTCCCTCTTTCTCCTCCTACTGTCCCTTATTCCTCCACTGTCTCCCTTGGGAATCTCACCTAACCCTATTGATTTATGCCCTTCTTTAGTCACAGACCACCCCCAGCCCCCAGACTCACACATTTAAATTTCTGCTGGATATTGCCACATGGGTAATCTCAAATTCAGTCTATCCAAAGATCGATCTTATCCTCGCTTCCCTCACCCAACCACCTTTTCTTCCAGCATGTCTTGTTCCAGTCGCCTCAACTGAAAACTCTAGAGTCAGTGACTTCTTCACTTACGCACTCACTCACTCCCAATATTCTTTGGGCATCTACTCTGCCAGGCACTGTTCTCGGTGCTGGGGCTGTGGCAGGGAACAAGGGAGTCACATTTGTTCTCACAGCATTCAGTTAGCTGGGGAGGTAGACACCGGACAAAAGACCACACAAGGAATTGGTGAGTTAAAATTGGGATGGGATGCTAGAGAGGAGTCCAGAGACTGTAGCTTCATGGTGCTTCCTGCATCTACACCCTCTTCTCCTACACTGCTAATGTCTTGGCTCAGGACTTCAAGGTTCTGGATTTGTGCATAACCTCTATGTCTGTCCCTCCCTCAGCTCTTACCCATCCTCCACATGGCTGTCCAATTAATCTTCCTAAAGGACAGATCTGCTCATCAAACACACCCTGCAATGGCTCCCCATGGTCTTGTTAAACTGGCCAGAGGGTCCTTGTGCTGACCTTCAAATCCTGTACAGTCTAGCACCTGCCTGCCTTGCCATTCATTTCTCATCTTTTGCATGTGTCTCTGCTTCTATTTGAAAACCACTAGGTATTTGTTCATTTTACAGCCTGGGAACCCCTTAACTTCATCTCTGTCGGTTCTAATCCTGACTCCACTACTTACTAAGTGACCTTGAGCAAATGACTTAATCTTTTTTCATCTGTAAAATGGAGACAATACTGCCTATCCCCAAGACATGTTGTGAGCATTAAATGAGATAATGCAAATAAAGTGCTCAGCCTAGTGTTTGGCACATAGTAGGTGCTAATACATATTACCTATCATCACTATCATGGTTATCATCATCACTGTTATCATCAGCAGCAGCAGCAATATTAATTTTCAAAGAGCCCTCTCAAACATCACTGCCTTTATGAAATATCCTGGATCTCCTGGGTGAGATGTGATGGT